GCATTTTCCCCTAAGAGCCATGTCCTATTTATGTCTCCCCTTACATAAACAAAGGCTAAAAGCCTATGACCATTTCTAACAGATGGGACTAAGCCTGTGACACATCCTGACAGCCTCTCCACCCCTCATCCGCCCTGGAGGAGAGCGGAGTTACTTCCAAGTCGCCTGATTTCTGACTCACGGGAAGTCAGCCGGTCTATTTGGGATGACATCCATTGAATTATTACTTCAGATCCTATACCACCAGAGATTTGAAACATTCCTTACATAAACATCTTTAAATGTACACAAACAATATGCATTCAAAGGAGAAAAAAATCATAAAATGCAGGCTAAGCAAAAAGATTTGTTTTCTTTTTTTTAATTTAATTTTTTCTAAGATTTTTTTTTTAATTGCCAGTAATTCTACCATTTGGAGAGACAGTGATCTAATTCACTGTTACATTTTGTGGTAAATTCTACCAGACTTTTTTCAATACATATATAGCTTGGTCTGGCACCTGTCTTCTTTCACTGCACAGTCTGCTGAAGACATCTTTTAAAGTCAACGTGGAGATGCCAGAATCACGGCCACGGCACCCCTCCTGCTGGCTGGGCAGTGCTCCACTGTCTAGGGCCCCCAATAACTGGCTCGGTTCCCTTCCTTGGGACCGGTGCTACTAGAAACCGCAGCTGCCTCTTTGTGCCTTTTAAGCTGTGTCATTAGGATAAACTTTGTTTAACTGGTCTAGGATTCTTACGTTTCATCTTCAAACAGGGACTATGTTAAAATAGCTTTAAAGAGGGAACATGAAGATGCATCTGTGTATGTAAGAGACGCCTGATGACTACTGTTCTTGTTACATGGACTGATTCTGTCAGTTTACCTTGTAAAATGCCATTTGCCAGTTATTTAAAAGTTTGGGTCATTTGCCTTTCAAAAATGTTTTTCTCCCTGGTTGAAAAATAAAAGTTGGCAGAATTTGAAAATTTGCAGTTGAAATTTTAAAAGATGAAGCTTTGGATACCTTTGTTAAAAAAAAAAGCCTCTTAAAATTATGTTTGCATATTAACCTGCAGTGTAATTGAAGTAACTGAGGAAACTTACCAAACACACGAGATTGTCACGTTCCTGGGTTACGTTCTCTGCTAGGCCAATAAGATTTGCCAGGTACTGGTGAGCAGACATTTCATTCTCCATGGCTTTTTCCACTTGCTTTTTGAGGATACTAATTTTCTTTTGAGATCTCCTAGAGAGTTCCCCCAAATGATGGAATGAAAATCTCATTAGCCTAAATGGCTAGGGCATAGCGAATATCTGTGTTATAAAAGAGCAGGGATGCTAGCATTTAAGTGTATTCTTCAGCAACCTAAATCTTCTATCAAGTTTCAAGGTGAGAAAAGGTAACTGAATTTAATTTTAAAGGAAGCATAATTATTGACTCCAAACTAAGTAAGTAAATAGGGATCACAAAATGCTTACACAATTAACAGGCCATTACATATTATTCTGTTAATTTTTTGGCACATGTTCTGTAAGAGATATTTTTGAAAAAGGAATTCAGTCGTCCCTGGATTAGACTTTTGGGAAATACTTAGTAAAGAACTTCTGGAACTTTTAGTCATCATTATGACTATCAACCATAATCGAACGATAACGTCGGTTCATGCTGGTAATATTTTATATTTAGATATGCGGTAAGCTTGATTATCCCTTTCCATTCTATAACCAATATTAGAAAAAGAAAAGATAAATAAAATGGAATAGAATACTCAATTTTTTAGCGACCAAAAACAAAAATTCCAGCTTAAGAGAAAATATAGAACACCTATTTAATTTCTGTGCCTTTTCGAGTTCAGCTTCCAGCGCCTTGTTTTCAGCTGTCAGATTGGTCTTCTCTAACAGCAGGCTCTTTTTCTGCATTTGCAGGACCGCCAACTTCTCCATCAGCTCTTCCATCTCAGCATTTTCTTTCTCTTCTTCCTTCTGCAACTGGCTGACAGACAAAAATATCACAAGTCTGTCAAGTCTGTATCTGGCACACTGAGGTTAAATGAGGCAGCCACTGCCGGGCAGTGACAGATAGCCATGCATATACATACATACATTCGTTTTCATATTCTTTTCCAGTAAAGGTTATCACAAGATATTGAACACAGTTCTCTCTTTAATCATCTTGATAGCGTCATTACCTATCTGTGCATCGCTACAAGCTTAGTTTAATTTGCCGATATTGGAACCATATGTAAACGGAACAAAGATGCATAACAGGTACCCAACGGGACTGTATATACTTTAGTGTCATTATGCCTCCAAGACTCACCCATCTTTCTGTGTGACTACAGAATATTTCATTGTTATCAGTAATACCAAATGCTATGCACTCATTTTCCTGCTGACAGTCACCTGGGCTATATATTCTGCACACATATTTGCAGGATTCTCTAGGGCAGGGCTACTCAAAGTGTGGTCCTCAGATGGGTGTCAGTCTCCAGCTGTTTGATACTTGTCCACAAGATAAGTACAGAAATTGAGAGGATGGCTTCAAAACTTTCGTAGCAATTTAACATTGCTGTGCCATCAGGGCAGTCTGAGATGAGTGAACTTGTTCTGTTGAACAGCAGTGGGGTGGTGTCAAATTTGCAGGAAGAGAAGCATGTGGTAGGAGCTGACACTTGTCATGTGCAGCAGCAATACACAACATATGATTTTAAGGTTAATTTGTAACTGAAAAATGTATAAAGACCAGAATTCACTTCTTTCACTGAAAAACAATTTAACTATTATCTTTTTGGACACGCTAACCTGGATTTATGATAAAAAGTTAAAAAAGAAAGTTGAAAACAGAGATTTTTTTTTTCTGTTTCCAGCCAATACAGAATAACAGAGGCCAGATTTATTCAGCTAAAAAACCAGGCAAAATGTAAGAAGCAACAGCTTTCAGACTTTGGACAACAGGCAGTGCAGGACTGTGATCCCTGTGAGGAGGAAGGAACAGGGTGAGTTCCACAACTGCTCCAGCTCACTGCCAGGCTGTGGAACAGGGAGGGAAACCCAAACTCAGCAGATTTGCTGAGTTGAGGAGTCAGAGAGCAGACATCAGGAAGGCCAAGGCAGCTAGAAATTGTGGGCAGAGAGGAGGGAGTTTCATGGAGAGAAAAGGCTCTGGAGATCTTTGGGCAGGGCACCACAAGTCTCTAGTTGACAGCTGATCTGTACGTGTGTGAGAAGAAACTACCTGAGGCTGAAGAAAGAACCATTAGGAACGAGTAGGCAGAACGATTCCTGACGTTCACAAAGACCCGGGAGTAGTGCACAAGCCCACCAGCCAGAGTGGAAAGACCTTGTAATATAAGGGACACCGGAGATCATCCTTAGAAGGGTGTTATTGCCTTTGTAGTGGGGCTAAACCATCCCTGACTAAAGGGTGCTTTGGGTCTACCCTGTTTAACAAAAGCAAGCTTTGAAAGAATCCAACTACTGTCTAAGTAACATAAGAACAAAATTTAACACTATTTAAAGCAATGCACTAAATCTAGCAGCCAACAACACAAAATCTGCAATATTCAATACCTAATCAAGAGTGGGAATAAGCCATAAAATAGGTCCCATGATCAAGAGAAAAAAAATAACAGGCCCAGAAGTCAGAAAGATGATGTCATATAGTCCATATGTTCAAGGAAGCAGAAGAAAACAGTACGATGAGGAGAGAAATAGAAAATATAAAAAAGACTCAACTGGATCTTCTAGAGATGGAAAAAACAAATGGAAGAGGTAGACAACGCGCTGGATGAGAATAAAAACAGATTAGATGCCATAGAAGAAAACAACGGTGAACTTGAAGACAAGCAATATAAAACGCCCAACTGAAGAACAGAGAAAAACAAGAGTAGGAAAAAGAAATGAACAGAACATCTGAGGCCGAAGGGACAGTATCAAGTGTCCCACAAAGAGTGGTGACAGAAGGAAAAATAGAAAAGAATATTGAAGAAATAACAGCTAAACTATTTCCAAATTTGATGAAAAATATAAACCCACAGCCCCAAGAAGCTCAATCAACCTCAAGCTGAATAAACATAAAGAAACCAAACCAAGGTACATCCTAACTAAATTGCTGAAAATCAGTGACAAAAATTATCAGAAGCCTGAGAGAAAAGACATGTCAATGTTCAGAGGAACAAAGATGTTAAGAGCAGGTTTTCATTAGGCACAATGCAAGGCAGAAGGCTACAGAGAACACCTTTAAACGGGGAAAAACCTCCAAAACCAAAAACCTGTCAACTTAGAATTCTTTACCCAGTAAAATTATCAATAAAGTTTTATGATTTTTCCAATACAAGTACTGTGAATCTTCCTACTCCTTTCTATTTGTGGGGCTTTGTAAATAGTTCTCTTTCTCATTTCTTTCCTTTTTTTGGGTGTGTGTGTGTGGTGGTGCTTTCCCATAATATCATTTTCTACATATTTGTTCCTACCAAGAAACACAATTAATTTTTATAAATTGCTTTTGTTCCTACCAACTTTGCTAAAATCCATAATTATTTCTAATGATTTCTACATATGGAATTATATCCTCTATGAATAATGACACTACTATTTCTTTCTTCCCAAACCTATCACTTTCACTTTTCTTGTCACGTGCACTGTTATCAATTAGTCTAGGAATGGTGTAAGAGGGCATCTTTGTACTGTTTCCAGTCTCAGGAGGAAAGCTTGCAACATTTTAACACGAAGACTAACAGTAAATTTACTGTAGTTTTGTTTTTTAACAGAACCATTAAGGAAGTTCACAACTATTCCTAATACATTTCTTTAGAGTTTTTACATCTAGATTCATGAGTGAAAAGGAAACGTAATTTTCCTTTCTTATATTATCATTTCTGGGTTCTGGTATCAAGGTTATACTGACCTCTTGAAAAGAGAGAGCATTAACTCTTCCTCTGTTCTTTAGAAGGGTTTATGTAAGACTGGAATTATTTCCTCCTGAATATTTTCAGAGCTCTGTTGTGAAGATATTTAACTGTAGCTTCCTTCAAGGGAAGATCTTTGGATTCAATTTCTTTAATGATTAAAGGAATATTCAGGTATTCTTTTTCTTTTTGAGTAAGTTTGGACAAGTTAT